TTGAATGTAAATAGGTAGGATCAATATTTACACTTAGGTGTGTTTCTCCAGGTGAAAAGGTTTGTACATCTAGACTTTGAAAACAACAGTAAGAACTTCAAATATTCATCTCTCAGTAGGTGGTGAAGGTCTTAACAAACACTGCAGATGAATCAAAGGCTATTTGGTTATGTTTATTTCTGTAATAAAATGAAAATACCTGCTGGGTATTCATATGGTTTAATACTGTTGGGTGATTTCTTCCTCCTTGTCTTGAATCTGGCTGGTTTTGAAATGCCAAATCAAACGCCCGTCCAGCGAATACACAAAGATGTGTCTGTCGCAGAAGCAGCTGCTTGCAGATTGCTTTACTTCAAATGCTTTGAGAGGCGTGGCTGCCCAATGGGGAAACAGGCTACAGACTAATTAAGAAATGTCATGTTTCTTCTTCCTTGCCTTAAAATTCTCCATAGAATTTATTCATTATTAAGCACTTCATAAGATCCCAAGCCTGCTGAACTTTGAAAACGTGCAAAAAGCTTTCTAGTGCAAGTTTTAATTAGAATATTTCCCATTCTAGCTCATGACAAAACAAATATGTGACCCCTGATTGGTCTTCATAATCATCTATCTATTTCAAATTAAAATTGTGGGGTTTATTTTAAATTGGTACAAAGAAGCTCAGATCTCCATTTTTATTTTTTTTCTAGTTTCCTTATGGTATTTTGTATTAAAGTGATGGAAATCCATGTAGTTATACAGAATTCATCAAGCAAAGGTGCAAAGTGTTGGATTTATTGTGGCTTTTCATATTCACGGAAAACCGAGCTGGCACCTTGAATGCATTCACAGATGTCAGACATCTTGTGAAGGGAACCAACATACTGTAGTAGGATTTAGTTGGCAACAGAGCACAGCAAAAAAGGGAAAATTGTTTGGCTGTAGGATAGACAGTGGCTGTGGATGTACCTCCTAGCCAAACACTCACACTGAGCTGATTGTGTTTTCACAAACTCATCCTTCTCCCATTTGTCCCCCATTCCATCTCACACTGACTCCTCGTTTTCAGCATGCTCACCCAGTGACATTTCTGTCCAATCTTGTACTGCTAGTAGGGGTGAAATATTATGTTTTCACTGATTAAGGCAAAGGTTTTGACCACATGTTGGATGGGTGGGAAGAATTAAAGAAAAAACCCATGAAAGGCTGAATAATATTAGCTACATTTCTATCTATGGAAATATTAAGAAATAATAGAGTTTGCTCACTTTGAAGTCCCTCAGCAAGAAGAGGAACAGAGCATAATCATCATTACATTCACCTTCTTTTATTCATATTAAAAATTGTTTTCTATACAGGGAGTTGGTTCTGCAGCTAAATTGCTCATCCTTCTAGCTCAAAGCACACTTCTGCACATGGACAGCATTTCTGTCAAACCTCAGAGGCTCTGTTTGTGTTTCATGTGTGACTGGAGCAGCTCAGCAGCCTGGCTGCAGAGCAGTGGGACCGAGAGCATGGGAAGGACAGGCTGTGCTGAGAACCAATATCAGCCAGGAATAAATGGGGTTTACAGGTGTCTCCCATGACACCATTAGCACCCACAAAAGTTCATAAGAATAGAACAGGCAAATACTGTCCACACACTCTCATGGCCTTCAGCAATTTGCACTTCAGTCTTTCTGTATTACTTTCCCATTCAACAGCCCTTTGTGTATTTTTCTTCTGAGTTTATCAGCTGTTGAACAAATGTAAATTTTAGCTCCTCTCATGCCCTGTTATGACTTCCACAACTATGCTGCACAGCACAGTAGTATCTTTTCTTCTAAAATTTCTACCTGCTAGTTTCATTTGATGCACTGTAGCCCTTGTTTTGGAAAAAACAATGAATACTGATTCTGTATTTACTGTCTTCATTCCACTCATGCTCTAAACATCTCTATCATACACCCACTCAGCTGTCTTTCTTCCAGGTTGAGGAGCTGTAGTCATTACATATAGGAAAACCATTCCACCCCTTAAATGATATTTCTCTCTTCTTCATTTCTACTCTGTGTCTGGTTTTGAGATGAGGAACTGAGAATTTGAAAGGTTAGAAGGAGTGACTTGGTGACTTATTTTACATGCATGGTCATACATTACATACAAACCATATCAATTATAATAAAAAATCAGGCATGAAGGTTGCAATAGGCATGAGTAAACTGGTGTTATGACTTGTGGAATAAACCCACAGAGTGTTACACCTTGGACTTGTTAATTTGTTTTTTCATGCTGTGCTATTTATGTAATTTTATGCTGTTTAAACTAAGCCTTTTCTACCCTCTAATATCTCATATCTTATTTTAATTACTTTAGTGCTTTTTTTTTATTATTTCCGTGTATATTTTCCACTCATTTTGCCCTACAGGCAGAGCTTCAGAGTGCCTCTAGCACTGAGAGCTTTGTCTCTTTTTTTTTTCCTCTCAAAAGTAGTAAATATCTCATCAGTCCAAAAAGGCTCCCCCCACCCCAGAGCATCTCTCTGTTTCCCCCTATTCTTGCCACCTTCTCTATAAAGAAACCTGTACCATTCAATTTGCTGGAATAAGGCAGCTACCACTGACAGAATTTCCTTTAGGAAATCCTGTGAGATGATTCTGATCTCACAAAAATGTACTAGAAGCAACCTTTCTTCCACATATTCTAAAAGGAATCAAAAATATAAAGCAAAGGGGTTTTTCACAGTGTCTAGGGAATTTAGGAGCAGAAATCCCACTAAGACATCAAAGAGGTTTGTCCTTAACTCCCTTGGATGCTTCTGAAACTCCCATCCTCAAAGCTTGTCCTAGAAGGATTATAAGCACACCCCAGCAGTAGGAATGTGTTGTTCTGCTTAGCAATTGTGCAGGAGAGGGCTGCATTTGAACTGCTTGTGAACAATCTCCCTTAAATCACTGCCTGCATCAAACAACTGGCTCAAGACTCTTCTTCCTCCTCCCTGCTCCTTCCCAAACTGGTGACATCACAAGGGAGTATTTCTGAATACTTTGAAGGAGGACAGACCTAAAGAAGGCTTTCACCAGCTGCTTTACATGCATAAATTCAAATGGAATTACTTTACATTAGGTAACTAAGTGTTGTGGCTGTACCTTCTCCACAAAAGGAGCAAACCTAGCAACACATAGTCTACAGTCTAAGAGGGCTTTTTGGAGATGGGAAATTCAGACACAGTGTGATTTAAGTGGTTCTCCTAAGGACAGACAGAAAGAACAATGGCTAGGGCATTAGCCTGAGCCATTCCAATTTAGTTCCAAGCCTTGTCAGATGTTTCTGAAAGCCCCCATGTGCCTTAAATAGATAATTATATTTTTTCACAGTAGTCTGAGGTAACTGCATAGAAAAGTTTAGGAGCACTCTAAACTGTTGTTTTGGCACACAGGTAAGAGGAGAACAAGAGAAGTCAGAAGTTCCTGACTTGTGGTTGATTACCATAACAACTTAGTTAGCCCTCTTCCCTTCTCTCGCTGTAAATACTGGTTGTGACCTATCACATATGATGTAATTACTGTGTTACTGACATAGACCTTAAGCTCAGGCACTTTCTTGGGGTGAACTTGATGTTTGAAAAGGTTTTCCTCCATCTCCCCCTTCTTGATAAGAAAATGAGGGTGTAGGGAATGGAAATGCTGAGCTCTCATGCAGTGGGACTTATGTTGTCTCAAAAATGCTGTCTTTTATGAGCTGATAAAAAGACTTCAATAAAGAACACCTTACAAAGAATCTAATAGTTCTTGGCTATTTGGAGGAAAGGCAAGCAGGGGAATGTGAAGGAAAAATGATAATAATGCAATCTTCCATTTTCTAACATGGACAGTTGGCAATACTGTGCTTTTCCAATTAAGATGATAGCATCTGGACTACTGTAATCCTTAAGGTTGTAAACTGTGTCATGTTGCCCAGAGTGGATTCATCAGTCAGCTGGCAATAATTTATATGATTAAAAAGAAAGGCATAATTTCACTCTATGGCTGCTATGCTGTCTTTTGGGTTTTTTGCTTTTTTTCTTTGTGGAAAATAATTTGTCTACCACATTGCACTGGAAGGAAAAAACCTGCAACAAAATTAACAAAGCATCTTCCTTTGTCTTCTCTTCCCTGTTCAAAAATACCTACTGTAAATAACTAAACTGAGGGTCTGATGATTATGGGATTAATTTTTTTACCCAGTAGGTTAGATTATTTATTATGTGCTGCAGAGTGGGGAGAGCAGCATGCAGCTTTAGAAGAGAAGGGCAGTGTGGCAGGTGGGGCTGTGTGACAGGTAGGGCAGGCCATAGCAAAGGGTAAAAACAATCAGCAGACCAAGGGGCTGGGAAATCCTCAGCAGTGAGAAGGAGTTAGGAAGATGCAGCCTAACAAAGAAAAACTGAGATTTTCACTGAATCATTTTCCTTAGCCCTTTCTCTGGCGTCCAGCTCAATGTTTGGATTAGTAATGTTGTTATCCTGCAAATGCATAATAGTGGCTGCAAAGAAATAACTTTTAGGAGGAAATAGTTTGGTGTTTCTTGTTTGAAAAATTAGAACAAATCTGCCAGTAATTTCAGCACTTCTGTGAGATCATGAAGTTTCTTTTCATTTCCTCCACGTTGTTTGTATCACGAGCTCAGAACTAGGATTCTAGCCTGAACAACTTGCCTGCTGAGTCAGGTTTTCTGGGGTGTATTGGGACTGCTTAAATGCAAAGAAAGACTAGAAAATGCAAAGAAATGCTAGAAAGAAATTGAGGGCTCTCCTGGAGCTAACAAAGCTTCCCTCACACAAGTTCCTTGTTTAAGCCTTGTGTCAGGATTCACACCTGTGCTGAAATGGGAATACTGAACACCTGTGCTGAACGGGTAGAAGATGTTACAAATGCAGGGAAAAGGGTAAAAAAAAACCCAAAAACAACTACCTGTTCATAATTTCAGAATTTAGGTAAGCAGAGGCCTCCAAAAAGTTCTTTCTAAAGCTTTAGTTATTTTCTTTTTGTTCTGGGCCCCCACTTCATGACTGGATACAGGAATAATCCCAAAAGAGGAAAAATGGTGATGTTCACGATATGCTGTGTCAGCTGGTGTATTGGCTAGAGCTGCTCTGACAATTTCTGTCTGACCCATTCCTACATGTCCAAGAGAGGCCAGCTTGCACCCAGCATTTTTTCTTTAATACATTCAGTACCGATGGCAAGCTGATTGCATGTTGTCCTTAACAGATTTCTGTAAGTATGGCTTTATATATTTCTAAAGAAAAAGTGATTTGAGTGCACAAGATAAGTTACCATCACAACCACTGTTCAAATGCCTTTTTAAGTGAGTAGCTTCTCTATAATAGTAGCAAAAAAGGGAGATGGAATTTGCCAGGAAGGTGGTTAAGGGTGTGGGAAGTGAGGGTTTTTTCTTTAATTGTGAAAAACACAGTTGTATCTGAACTTTGGCTTAGTTTGCAGAGGTGTATTGAGATCCTGTGACCTTATATGAACCCAAAACAACAAATAAAACGTCTTCCTATCAAGACAATTTCCTTGAAGCTACTCATGCTTGCAATATTCACTTGAACAAATGATTTTGAAAAATGAAGTAAACTCTTAGCTTCATCCTCTGAAGCAGTCTAAAAAAGTTAGATAAAATCATGATTTAATATCCTTTGATGTAACAGACATATTTAATGGGAGTGCATAGCTGTCCTTCTCTCCAGAAAGGCAATACCAGATTCCATGAATCAACCCCAGCCTTCAGGAGAGGTTTTTCTGATGGAAGAGGTTGATAATCTCTTGACTGTGTCACAGAGGAACAGTAAACTTGCCATGAACTTTGTAGATGTGGGTGATGCTTCACTAGAACAGAGGTGAAGCTTCTCTTTCAGTTTGACTCCCACCTCTGGGAGCCACCACGAGGGGACCTGTGCAGCATCCACAAGGCTTTGTGTTGGTTTTGGATGAGTGAACTGAAAGTGGCTCTATGCCCGTGGTTTAATCTCAGTTCTTTTTTAAAGATGTGAATTGACAGCATCAAAGTGACTTGCATTGATCTTTGTTGTTCACTGGCTACTCCAGCTTCATTACTAATCTCAGTATATTCACTATTTGAATTAGTTTTTTATCAGAATATGAACCAAGACCATTACCAAATCCCTACTAATCTCTCCCCTCCATCTCCCTGCCATTGAAAGCAACCCATTTACCTTTTTTACGTGACTTTTAGCTAACAACCTGCAAAGTTTCCTTTCAGTGTAGCTGGGAACATATAAATAGATAGGGATTACCAGAAAATGCTGCTAATGAATTAGTATATGTAGTGCTTAAAGAAGTTTGGGCACACAATGAAACAGGTCTGTAAAGAAAATAAAAAAATCCCTAGGTTGTTTAAGAGCAAGGAACAATCTGTGCTTGCAAAGCCATGCCATGCAGACGTACTGACAGGATACATGCCAGTGGTAAGTGCAAATTCCCAGTTGAGCTTCTCTGGCAGGGCAGGTGTGGGGCACAGCCCGTGCTGGGAAGCATCTCCTGGGCACCAACAGCATTGGGTCAGTTTGCTGAGGGGCTGCATTGCTCTGGAGAGACAAGCCAGTCTCACACAGGTGCACAGCCTTGAGAGTGCCCCTTTGACCTAGGAGAAGAGGAACTGGTACTCAAGTAGAGAAAAATCACAGAATCACAGCAAGTATTCTGGATTGGAAGGGACCCACGAGGATCAGTGACTCCAACTCTTAAGTGAATGGGCTGCACATGGGTCAGTCTCTCAACCCTGGTGCTGTTAGCACCAGGCTCTGACCACTGGGGTAGTGCAGAGCTTAGCTGTCCCTCTGCTGTGGGATGGGGAAAAGGAGGAAAGGAGCTCCTTGTAATATTTCATTGGTGGGTTTAAGTACCTTTTCTTTCCAGTGAAATAAATGGCTCCAGCTACAATACGTTGTGTTGGGTGGAGAATCTGCTGCTTCTGAGCATGAAAGAGAGGTGGAAGCTCTAGGAAATGGCTGGGTAACCTCTGATTCTGAAGGCAGAGCTAAAACCTGCAGGGGCATATTAGACAGGAGTATAAAGTCTTACACTGAGACATTATTCTGGTTATTAATCAGTGATTAAATAACAGTTTATCCATATAAATTCCTCCCACTTTCAAAGCACAAAAGAGCTGTGCTCATTTACTCCAGCCAAGAATTTGATATAATAATTTTGGGAAGCTTTCTGTTTCTTTCATGTTCACAAGAGTTCTGTGTTATGTAAAGAGACTGTGGCACGAATGTTACCTGGCCCAGTTTCTGTGTGTAATTAATTGACTTAGCTTTTTTCTCTGCATGCAATTCCACACACAAAAGGATGTTTTAAATCACAGTCAATTTCTGAGAACACTTTAAAGGACTCTTTTTATTAAAAAAACCAAAAAGGTCCTAAATACTCTGTTTACTTTTATTCCAACATTATACAATTGTGAAGATTTTAAGCAAGCAATATGGCATTTTTCTACTAAGCCTTCTAGTCCTAAGCTTTCTGTTTATTTCAGAAATATCAGAAATTCTACACCATTTGTTCTACAAGACTTTAACCCTGTAACTTTACTAAACCCCTGACTTTACTAAAACTTCTTGGGATACTTTTGTCCAACAAATGCAGCCCAAAGGCTGCACAAAAAAAAAAAGAAATAAAGAACACTTAGGAATGAAAGGAACTTTATAGAGTGCATAAATATTGTGTGTAGGTCTCTGAATGGTGCTTGGCTTGGCCTTTGATAGAATACCTAGGATACTTCTCCTGGAATGACAGTGTCATGAAGTCATTTGAGTAGTAATTTGTTTGGAGCAATACCTGTGACTTCTGACATGTGCTGGAAATTTTAATTCAGGCTCACATATGTTGAGAATAAACACTTGAAATCACTAGGCTGGTAAAATACATAAGCTACATTTTATGGCCTTGAGTTAAGTTAAAGTATCAGCAGAAGAATATCTTGAGGTATGATAAAAATGGTCTCTTTAGAGAAAGTCTCAGTTTGTACAGAGGAAAATTTTCTGGGGTTTCTTTTCAAAATACTGACTGGAAGACAAGAGGGGTCTTCATCAATGGGGAAAACTTGAAGAAAAAAGAGAAATAAAAAGGGCAGTGGTTTGAGTTTTGGAGGCTAGATACTGGATTGAAGAAAGAGAAGTATAGAGGAAGAATATAGAAAAGAAAAGTAAGTTGGGAAAAGGAAAATGATACAGAAAACAGCATATCAAAAAATGGAGAGTAAGATTAAGAAAAAGAGCAGAGTTAGCAGGAGAACAAGCATTAAAGCAGTGCTGGAATTAGGCCAGTGCTGGACTGTGGCAGTTCACAAAAGAATGCTGACAGCTCTTAAAATGAGGGTCGGCTAATTGAAATTTGTCTCTCTCCAATTCTGATGGTTAAATTCCAGTACTGATGAGGGAAACACACAGTAAAATGCAGAATGAGGAAAGCTCTCCATCATGACTAGAAACTCACTTGTAATACCAAATATAAAAGGAAAAAAATATCATTTTTCTAAACTATTGTGTCTTTCTTTGCAGTTCATAGTGAGTTATCACTGACATGGAATGAATTCCATAAATGGAATTCAGTCAAGTTCCATCTCTAAACTCCAGGTCTGAGGAGACTTCTTAAATGTAAGTCATTTGGGTATTATTAATATATGCATTAGTAAAGATTTTTCTGCATTCAAACAATAAGTGTTATGATTTGGGGGCCAATAAACTGAATTCTTTGTGTGTTACTAAACAGCTGAATGTACATTTTGAATAGGAAGCTTGGTCCAGGCTGTACCACAGGATCATGGCTGTTTCTTCTTTGCAGGGTCTCCTGTAATTAAGATTGTCAATAATATAAAGGAGGAAGGTATTTATTATGCAAGGTCTTCAGCTAACTATCTATACTAGGAGATCTGATTCTTCTGTTCTATTTAGCCCATCATTAAATCACAGAAAGAAATAGGTGAGGCAAAGGATTCTTGACTTTTTCCAAAGCAGAGTCTTCTTTTATGTAAATTAGCTTAATACTTTAAGAGTAAAGTAGAGTTTTAAATATAAGGCTAGGAAAAAATTGTTTAAATAACCATTTTTTACATAAACATTGGGGAAGTGATCATATAATCAGAATAATTTTACAGAGTAAAATATATGCTGAATGTTTTTCATATAAGGTGGGAAACATCTTTCAACACACAAATTTGTGACATACTTCCTGTGTTTTACTTGTACCAATTTAAGGGAGAGGCAGCTCTGCTGAGGCAATGCTGATGCAAAATCCACTGAAGATCTGCCCCAGTGCTGAGGGGTGTGAATCAGCCAAGTGTGCAAACACATGCTGAAATTCATTCCCACTCACAGCATCTGCTTACATGTGCTATTGCTTCACTCTCACACACAGTTTATGTCAGCTACAGCATAGTCCAAAAACTGTAATATCCGTCATTTGAGAAGGAATCCAGAGCTGTAGCTGTGGGAGTAAATGTGTTCTCATCATTTCCTGGGCCCTGCACATGGGGTGAAGAGCTGCTTGTGTCCACACTCAGCCAAAGGCACATCTTCAGAGCTGTTGTCAGAAGATTTTCCCAGCACCAAGAAGGGCTTTCTGTAGCTGGATAAGGTGTTTTCATCTTGAATTCTTTTGGAATCTTTTTGCATTTAGTAAAATCCAGCTATTCTGCTAATGTGTTTTGATAATATAGTGATTGGCACCTTAGAAATACTTTAGACAGACAGATAAAAGGATTCCAAATGCATCCTTTGTGAATTTTTAATAAAAGATTTTGCACTGTCCAGTGATGAAAACAAATCATCTGTGGAAAGACAAAACTGTTTTTCATTAGTATCATTCACTGAGGGTGTTTGTATATGTTTGGTGTCTGATAGCATCTTAAGCTTAATAATTTTACCATTTCTAGCGACAAGATATGTCACTTGACAAGCACTTGTGCTTTGTATCTGCCTCTTCTTTCTTTTTCTTGCAGAGCTTCAAGGTCTGTGCTGTATTTTTCACACAATGGTGCAATTGATGAGAAGGTGAAGTTTTCTGACAGTAAATTGCTTCTTTACAAACAATACACAAGTTCCGGGTTTGTTTCAAATTCAAGAGAAACCAAAAATACTGGTAAAAATTTATTTCCTTCTGGTTTTGTCAGCAAGGGTTAAGCCAAAGGAACCTCTGTGTCGCAGACCTTTTGGGATCCAATACCAACTGGACTTGACCTTGCTTTGATTTTCTTTTTGCTGCACTGACATGCCTCCTCTTCCCAAAATTACAAATTACTGAAGTATTCACAGAATCATATCACAGAATAGTTTAGGTTGGATGGGACTTTCAATATCATCTTGTTATCCTAATACTATGGTGAGGAGGAACTTTATAAGTGTTCAGTGTATGGTGACAAATGGTATATTTTAAAAATTAATTTCAAGTTAATGCTAAATTATGGAATTATGTACTACATACACTTTATTACTAAAAGAGTTCCTCATGTTTAATATTATTACAGTGAACACCAAAAGAATTAATAATGATTTGCACTTCTTATAGAGTGGTACCAATGTAGTGAAAAAAAGGTTAGCCTAATTAAATTCCACAAACCACTTTAGGGCTCTGCCGTATTGTGGAAGCTGTTTTTTATGTAATTAATTCTGAATGAAAGGTTTTTGAAGTGTTTTAATATTGTTCAAAGAGGCACCTGGAAGTATTTCAGTTTTTTTTTCTCCAGGATACTTTGACCAAGCAAACATCATCCTTTCCATGATGAGCTCTTTCCTGCATGCTGTACAAATTTTAGTAAATAATAATCAGCTGACTACTCCAGTATTTTATTGAGAGATAGAGCTGAGGTTGGGTGAGGATATTGCTGTGCTCTGACAAGAGACAACTTGGGGAGCAAACCTCAGACCTAGAAATCCAGTTCACTTCCTTGCAGTGCACAGAGCTGCTGGACAATGCATTATGGACTTAACTCCCCTTTGGAATTGCTTACAGTCCTCATCCCTTGTGTTCCACAGAAGCAAATGCTACACCACATTTGGCTTAGATTCTAGTTTCCACACATCTGACTCTGTGATGATCCAGTGCTGTAGTTCAAGGGGTGAAAGGGTACATTTTTGCATTTTATTTGTTTTCTGGCTAATTTTAATTGTCATGAGGAGAGGTAGAAGGCACCTATTGGTAGCATTTTGGTGACCTCCCTGGCTCCTTCTCAGCTACCCTTAACTGTTGTTGAGTAATACAAATATTTCAGACTGGGATTTCCACCAAAAAAAATAGCCATGAAAAAACAAATGTGAACATTTTCTCTGCCTCTCCTTCTACTGAAATTCTTGGAAATGTTTTTACTTTTAGCCTTCTAATAGACCTGTTTGGAAATCCTATTCAAGCTGGATTTTTTAAACCCCAATTCCCTTAAGCACATGCTTCATGTGTTAGGCATGTGTTTAAATTCTCTTGATTTAGTGTCATATACTTAAGGGCATTGCTGAATAAAGAAGGGCATGAGCATGTACTTAAATGCTTTGCTGATCAAAGGAACAAACCTTTTGATTTGATCTACATTTAATGCAAGTTACATCACCTATCCAGTAGTAAAGAATTTACTAAACGTCTCTACTAAAGACAGTTCTTGATTAAGCTGTGTTCTTCTGGCTATGGAAATAGGAAGGGCTGCATAATAAAGCACATTTCTTAATGTTTTTTTATTGCATTGGTTGTAAATTACATTTTCAAGTGCTATATTCTCACTGAGAATAAAAGAATGGATCAAGGCAGTAAAAATGAAAAGAGAAAAGAGGGGTTTGGTAGTTCAAGACATATATTCAGCCAAAAAAAAAGAATTATTCAATATGTTTTATGTTCTTAATATTATTTCTTTCTATATACAGTACAGTATGTAACACATCTCTTCCTCCTTACACTAAAAATTTATATTCAGGATACTCTAATGAAGTACATCTTGAGTCTCCTTTTCATGGCTAATGAGGAGACAACAAGAATTTGACTAATACTAGTACAATTACTGGAGCAGTGAAGCGTGCATCTCTGATTAGATGTGATAATTTGCAAGGCTGGGCTCTTCACATTAAGTTTGCAAACAGTTTAAAAATCACTTCCTCTATTTATCCAGCTAATCTCTGTTTAATGACTCCAGACCTGACAAAAGAAAGAGAAAATGTCTCTTAAAACCCTATACTTCATTTCTGAAGCTTGTATGTAGAAGAGAGGTGTAATTGATAGCAAATTTTTTTCCAGAACACTTTCAGATGAAGCCATGCAGCTGACTTTTTACTATGCAGTGTTTCTTTTTAATATTTCTGTAATACTCAGTCTCCTTTACATAGAGCTTAGTTGTTTTTGTCCAGGTTTAGACATATATTTATACTGATTTTTTTACTCTTTTGGTTTTTCTAATTTTCCATTTGAATTAAATACTTGATGATCTTAAAAGTATGAATATTTTTATTGGATTTTTTTTTTTTTTTCATAAAGGGTAGAGTGGCTGGTGAAGGTGCTGTTAGAAAATTCTTCATCAGCATCTTGGGCAGGTGGGTTTTAAAAGAAATCAGGTATGTACCATTACAGATTTTTTAAATATTCCTTCATCTTTGAGGCCTTTCTTCACCATTTGGTCTTGAAGCAAATCTGACTGAAACAACAGGAACTATGGTTAGAATTCTTGATGAATTTAGTTAGCAAGCAGAAGCAGCTCTTGCTGTCAGTAGGTGGCACTTGTCCTGAGGCAGGAATGAGATATTTTAAAAGGACAGCCAGCAGTTTCAGTCAGGCCTAAAAATGGATGCCTTCATGCAAAACTCTGTCCCAGAACACATCACTTATAGAAATAACATATTCTGGTGTGACTGCTGAGAAAGAACTGCCATTAGAGGATTTAAATGAGTTTGCCAAGTCACTTGATACACTCATACCTGGACCAAGTGCCACTGTATTGTTTCCACCTTGCACAGTGGCATCATACAATTGCGATTTCTTTTAAGATCCTCTAAAACTGAGTAAAAATCTAATTTCAAACCAGATGCAAAACCAATATACTGTCATAGGAAGGTAGAAAGGATTCAAGACTGTGACTCCCAGGGATATTTCTGGAGTTTTGTCTAACTTGTGTAAAAGAAGTATGGAAAAAGGATCAAATGCTCAGCCTGTTATTTCTGTACATATTTATTTGCTTATATATCTTCCAGAGGGCATGATCATCTTCGTGTAAAGTATCTTGTTGAAGATGGGCTCTGGGATTTCCCTGTCTTTTTTAGTAAGTGATACCACTACCCTTTTGTTTCCACTGAAAAGCAGCAGTTGTTGCAAGGATTGTGTAGAACAGACAGAAAATGTGCATCAACATCCTTCTGGACCTATGGAAGTTATTTGTGTCAGAGAGGAGGGAATCCATAGAGAAGTTTTGACAGACTGCATGGAAAGGTGTCTTTAAATACAGAAGGCATCTGAATCTTTCTCTGCTTCCAGACACAAAAGAGATATTAAAACCAGAAAGTTGTGGGGTTCAGTTCTTGGGGATGGCGGTTTCTAAAACTGATCTGAATACCCAGTGGCAGAGCATCCTCCCTGAAGACTAGGATAGAAGGGTGGAGGCAGTGCAAAATGACATCAGCTCTTGCTGTTACTAATGTGATGGAAAATGGCCAGTGTAGCTTCAGAAATGGGAAAAGCAGATAAAGGATTTCGTCATTTTTGCTCTGCAGTCTCCACTGGTGGTCTTTACAGGGCCAACTCTCCGATTTCACTCTTCCCCATTAAAAAATAATGCATTTAAGGACCAGGTGGTAGTATTTGAATGTGCTATCCCTTCATAAAAATCAATTATTTTTTTTTTTTAAAAAAAGTGTTAATTCTGCCTAGAACTGGAACTAAGGAAGCAGTCTTTTAGTGAGGAAAAATTGAACAGAAATTACACTACGATCAGAGCTGCAGTAAGTGTTCCTTGTTCCCTACGCTATTTAGAGCTGCTGCTCTTGAATCTGTGCAAGTGATCCATATAATTGATATTTGTAATAATAAATTCCTTGCTTTTAATCACAACAGCAGCACTGGAAAACAAAGGACTGCTTTTGCTCAGTGCCCTGGAAAACAGCTTACCTCCCATGAGTGAAGGTGAGGGACTGCAGTGTTCCTCTGCAGCTGGATTGTACTTGTGATACGCGAAAAGTTTCCTCACCATCAGCCAGTGAGTGGCCCCAAGCAGACAACCAGTACTGTCTCCAATCTCCAGAGCTGCCTGTTAAGCATTGAGGAGAAAAGACACTTTTTCTTCCTCCCTGTGCCTTCAGGCAGGATGCACTGCACTGGAAGGGTGCAGCTACTCAATCTCCAGCTCCCTGGTGTTCTGTGCTGGGATAGAGAATTTAGGAGCCTTTGAGGCCACAACAGATTTTTAGGACATGTTTGCTTACAGACAGATAAATGTTAATGCAATTAAGTGATACCAAGAGAGAAGCAACAAAATCATTCATTAACTTTAAATTTAGGAGTTGTTGGTTCCAGCTTATTGTTGATTCCAGCTTTTGGGACTGGCTAATGATCTACTGCTTTTTCTAGAGCTCATACCTTGGAAAGTTCCTAGGGCTACATAATTCCCACTCCTTTTGAAGCAGATAATTAGTGGAGACACCCTGAGTTAATTCTGCCTTTTTTCCATTCTGAATGAGGTAACACCTTCCTTTTTCTTTTCTGTTTACACATTCTCTGACTGTATTAAAGGCAGGACAGGAAATTTTCTTTTTTTTTCTAGGGGTTAGATCTTTTTAATTGTTTCTCTAGTGTAAATAGTAAAGTGCATTTTGCCTCGTAGCCAAGTAGGGTCTAATTTTTTTCCGTGTTAAATAAACGCAGGCCTTTCAGTAGGCTTTGTAGCTTCATAGTAGATTCATCACTTGTACTCATTTTAAAAGAAACAAAATCACTTTTAAGGTGGACAAAAACACAAAGTCAAGTATAATGGAAATGCTATGTGTCCAGGAATCAGTGCTAAGAAGGGTTTTTACTTGAAGAGAGTGGCAGCAGTTACAAGTATGCTCTCAGTTTATCTCAAAGCCAAGTCATTCTCTGAGATAGATCCCAGGAGTTGCCACATATTTAAAAAAAAACCCAACACATTACTACTCTTCTGAATATCCTCATAGTAAATTCGTTCTGTAAATTAAATTGTGAATATAGCAAATTTTTTTTTTCCAATAATTTTTAATTGTCATTTTCAGTGTATTGGAGCATTGTTTCAAGCATGCAACGAGTTTCTGTGCCTTTATCTGTCACCCAGTATTCAATTTCTCTGTAGCAATGTCTGTGCTTAGTCTCTCGATCTTGTTGCGCTCCACAATGAGAAAAATCTGGAACCTAATGAGACAGCCTAAATTCCCTTTTATAAATGACATCCAGAATCACCAGTGCTGGGTTTGCTGGCAGCCTGCCAGATACCACGTTCCACTGCATAGACCTCTCTCCTTTCCCTCTGAGATTCCTCTGGTGGAATAGTTCATGCAGCCCTGAGCACGTCCTTGCTGCTCAAGGCCTTAGCAAGGCAGTGGTGGAATCCAGACTCTGAGATTCAGCCGTGTGTCCCTGATCATGCAGAGAAATCAATATCATAAATTGCAACAGCATAAGTTTGCCTGTTTGCAAAATAGCAATAATATTCCCTCCATTATTTGCATGGATCACAGTCTCCTTCAGGAGTAGTTGGAGTCTGGTAATCACAGAAGTACTTGGGGTTTACCCAGAATATGTGTTCTTCCACCGTCAGGAATGTTGAAGATTCACCAATCCATAGGGAAACCACTATGAATTCCAAGTTTACCCAGTCCCCCAGGTTGTTTCCACCTCTCAGCAGGAAATAAGATTTATGAAAATGTCTTTACCTATCTTCTATTTTGAATCAGACATATTCGTGAATGAAGTTCTTGATCACATTAAATTCCTAAAAAGTAATAAAATACTTCTCCTGGAAAGAAAATATCTTTTTAATATGTACACTGGAGAGGGTGAAAAATAAGAATCACTGAAATTCTTAATTAAGCAAATAAAAGACACATGATAGTGCATCATGGATGTTTAGCTGCTTGGGAAAAAAAAAGCAGCTTTTGGAGTGTTTTTTGCTGTTTCAGACATTAGAGAATCCCCTCCCCAACTAAAGCTTCTTTCCTGTGTGAATTATCATTTTTCAAACATGGAGCAAGAGAAAAAAGGATTTATTTTTTCCATCTGATACCTACTGGATATTTAGTTAGGGTGACCTCACACATTCAGCTAAAAGTTACTCAGCTAGAAGACACTAGTGCAGTGGAAACCAGCTGTAGTCAGCTCCACTGCTCATGGAACAATTTCTCTGCAGATCCTTCTAATTTCTTCTCCAGATGTGATCTGTCCCCTCTAATCATTGTGCTATTTCAAACAACTTATTCACACACTTCTCAGACTTCAAACCTTGCTCTTGTGCAAGGCAAATCATCCTCAAGTTTGGAATAAATAGGGATTGAGCTATTTCTTAAATTACTACTTGGAAAAGGATTTTAAATTGTAGCATCCCTTTCCATTTAATTGTTGCTAGTCTGAGGCTGGTGAGGTGCTGTTTGTCAGAGGATTCTCGTGTCACAGACAGAAACTGATGCACAGGGAGTTCCCTCTAAAGGTGAGGAAGAAGTTATTTACTGTGTGGGTGACCAAGCACTGGAATAGATTGCCCAGAGGGATTGTGGAGTCTCCCTCACTGGAGATATAGCAGAATTGTCTGGACACAATCCTGTGCCATGACTGAGGATGGGCCTGCTTGAGGAGGGAGGTTGGTCTCACACAACCTTATCCATTCTGGGGCCTTTCAGCACCCTTTGGTTTTGGTACCTGTATGGGAAACATGTGCTACTTCACCACAAATGGGACTCTGCCTCCAGGATGTTTTGCAGTGGATTTTATTGTGCTTTTGTTTGTTGCCACAGAGACTTTTATCTGTGTAGGTACTTATCTCAATATTAGTCATCTTTTCAAGTCTTTTAAGTCTGGAATTCCAAGAGCTGTGGAAATTCCATTCCACCTTGAAATTCCTTGCGAGCTGAAACTTCAGTTCATTTTCAGAGTTTTCTGGTACAGTCTGTAAAATGGACAATACAATTGCAAGACCATAATGCTTCTACTAATTAATTAATTATCAGGCTTTTTCCTCTTCACAAGCTCTTTACACGTGGAGGTATCTTAGGCAAACAGAATGTGAATTCCACTGCACTATCAGCAAGCTTTTAGCCAAGTTGGTCCACTATCCCAAATTTTTTGTGCTTAAGGGTTGCTTTGGAGCTGCAAAGTTCCAGGACACAGCTGTTAGCATTTGGATGTGCATCTCTGTTGAAAATGTGCAAAATGTTTGACATTGTCAGAACAGGAAGTCCAGCTACAACATAAGCACTGGTTTTATGTGGGAGCACCTATGTGCAGCAGCACACCAAGGATTCCTGGAAGGAATCTGCTGCCCTCCTGATGTGTGAGGGTACTTATTTTTTTGTGTATTTTCCATTAACCCTGAAATAAGAGTTCCTTGCCTTAGAAATCTTAAGGTAGAGGTTTGGGGTTTTCTGGTCATGAAAGTTAAAACAATTAACTCATTCATAAGGCAGGAATTTTAATTGAGATCACCAAGGTTGAAAAACAAGTGACTTATTCACAAGTAGAATTATATGTTTTTCCCAGCCTTTTCCTCTAAATATTGATCATAGAAGGCCTTGTTTTAGACCAACTGCAGCAGAAGAAAACATTACTCTCAGATTTTATATTCTGTGAGTCACTGGAAGTTGGTAACACACAGCTATATTTATCTTGTCCTGTCATTTTAGATGTACCTTACTGCACTCCGTAGAATCATTTCTTATAGAAGCTGGCAGCAGTCCTTGCCATCTCATACCTGATTTTTTTTTTTTAAGCTAGACTTGTTTATTTTAGACAGGTTGCTTCATACCCTGTTCAGAAATGAAATGTTTTCTCTGTGTATGGAATTTGACAGAAATGAAGAAAAATCTCATCCATTTTCCTCAGTTGTCCTTACCTCATATGAAGGAAAACATTCACAGCTGTCTCTAGTGTCCTGCAATGCAATAATTTTTCTCAGAGGTAGACTAATACCTGAAAACCTGCTGACAAGGCCACTTGCCTCCTGCACTTGGTACTGTAATGTCTGGACACTGGGAGTACAAGTATGATCTCTTTACGTTTCTATTAAGCCCATTACCCCTTTAAACAAAGTTTGCTATTTAGTCTAACAGAAAAGGTACAAGGGTGTTTACTGACACTGAAATGAATAATGTCCAAAACGCCCCAGGGAGCCCTGCCCAAAGATCTTACTGAAAACCAACAACATTTGTACTCAGTAGAAAATTTTATCCTTGGAAAATTACTGCAGACACATATTAGGAATTACACTCAAAGATATAAATCCTCAACATCAGATGAGTTGATTTCTTTCTTCTTTGTTACTGGGCTCATCTTTCATATGAGTGCAGTGGACAGTGCTGTGCTCTTGAGGCACGTGTCCAATGTAAAGTTGCCTTGAGCTGCTTTGAATGCCAATTGCTGCTCTAATAACCATTTTTAAGAAGGCAGCATGAAATTAATATGCTACAGTCTGCACAAAAGGAAGATAAAGCAAATGTAAACTTAGATCAGATAATTAACACGCCTTTGTGCATAGTGCTTGTAACAAATCCCAAGAAACTATAACATAACATGGGTTATTTTAAAGCAAGGAGGTTTAACTTTGTAAATGTGATGAGGTTCCTCTTTCACTCTTTGAAGTGACCTAGATGAAAAGGGGATTTTTTCGGTTAAGGTCAAGAAATTTTAAGTGATAGAGGATATAAAACATTTCAACTTGAAACCAATCATTTTAACTTTACAAAGAAAAAAATAAAAGAAATAAAAATTGATCTTTCCTGTGATTATCTAAACAGAAAGGTTTAGACACCTCTTTTGGAGATGGTAAACAGTACAATGAATTGTAATAGTACTGGAGCAGAGTAAGACCTTCATAAACAGAAAAGAGCATAATGTATTTTCTGGAGGATATCCAGGGATGTGGGGTTTTGTTTTGTTTTCCTGTTTTGTTTTGTGTTTTTTGATTCTTTCTTGTTTTTTATTTTGGAAAACATCTAACTACAGTTTACAACTGAGTCAGGTAATTGAACTGAATATCAACCACTGCATGAATAGCAGCAAATACCTGGCAGATGTATGAGAAAAAGTTATTTCCTGAGCAACCTGCAACAGAGAAAACAGTGATCCCAGGACAGTTCCACAATCCATGGCTAATGCTGTAGTAGCATCTGCAGTATGTCACTGCAATCACACACAGCAAAGCCAGGTGTGTATTAAGGAAGAAAGCCTTTACAAGCCAAATTGTGTGGGATGGAATCAGTAGTGCCTACACCTTAAGAAGGCTGGAATTAGACTTTAAGTGTTCATTCAGTTTTGCTAAATTGTAGTACGTAATTGTTATCCTGATGGTAAAAAATTATTCTTTCCTGTCTATCTAGGGTTTTATCCCATTACATGCTGACCTTGCTTATATAATTGAAAAAAGGGTATTCCATTAAAAGTAAAAGCTTTTTTATTTCATTTTGTCCATACGGTTCAGTTTTTAATGTCCTTCCTCTCAGTGACCAAATATTTACCA